AAAAAAAAAATAAAAAAAAAAAAAAAAAAAAAAAAAAGTCTCCTAGGTAGAATATTTCGAGTTTTGCTGGAATTTCTTTTCTTACTGGAACTCGATACCGAATTACCCATTATGAAATGTTGAAAAAAAGCAAACGGACATTAATCTACGGTTGTCCTGTGCTATACATATAATCAGAAATATTATGGAAATGCCTTTTTTAAAACTTTATTCTTGTTAAATCTTGTATAGCTAAAATTTTACTCACGACGTAAAGAAACTCTAACGAAATCAATGTGAATAATATTGATTGCCTAGAGCCTCTGGGCACTAAGTCTGTGTACTGTAGATCGATTGTAAAAATCGAACATTTTATATATTCTATAAAGTTCGATCAAGAAGTTTTTTTTTTTTTTTTTTCTCGGAAAACTATTCGTACGTATATATCAATCAATATGCATGCACACATGCACATACATGCATACGAATGTAAAAACATGTGTATGAATGTATTATTGTTTCTCTCATCCATTAAAGTACGATCAACTCACATTCCATTATATATTACAACATGTATTACGTTTTTCATTGTTACGTCATTTACATCGTTCAGGAAAACTAGCCATTTAAGCGACAAAATAATATTTATTATAAATGTACATAAAACTGTTATTGTAATAAAGAAAATTGTAAAAGGGCAACTTAAAGATAATTAAAGAAAGAAGAAATTATTCAGCTATTATGTTACTTAATGTAATTTTAATTATTCAACGATCGGTGAAAGAGTAAACGTGTCCAACGTCGTTATATACCAATGGGTATCTTAAAATATTTAATTAATTATAATATAAATAATGAAACCAGAAAAATTATAGGAATCAATGAGAATTCCTATTTTTCTCATTATCTTAAATTTAAGTACATTTTTTTATGATTTAAAAATTAACTCGACTTTGCAAAAAATTCATTAATTTTTTTAATTCACAGATCCAATTTTTATATCTTTTTATGTTTGATAATAGAGTTTATAGTGAACATTTTGTAATATTAGTTGGGATTTTATCTTTTTTCATTAATATATCAATTTATTTATATTTCACATATACGCATTATATAACAGTAATAAAATAATTAAAGATTATTATTTCTCAATGAAACATGATACTTTGAATAAAAAAAAATATTAATCCATTTTTTGGTGTTATATTTAGAATCCAAAAATCTCATTTAATTTTAAACAATTATTTTAAAAATAAATATATATTTAAAAAATTTATTGTATATTAAACAGATATACAAGATAAGTGCAATTCGCTTAATTTGTTCTAAGGAGCATTAAATGTTTATTTTCATTACTCATTTCAGCCAATTCAAAAGAATTTATGAATATATATATATATATATATATATATATATATAAACATATTAAAATAGTTATATTTGCAAAAGCATTTTAATGTTTTATTTATTCCGGTTATATTGAGTTTTTAAAACTAGTCTTTTAATGTTTAGATAAGTACTTTAGATATATAAGCTTAATGATGAAAAACCCATCATATTAGATTCTAATATAATCGCAGACGTATTTTATCAGAAAATGTACACTACGATAGCAAGTAAATAATTACATAAATATTAGATTAACAATGAAATGATTTCCTTGCAATTAATACCACCTTCTTAACTTTTGGGATAATTATGTCTTGATTAAGCCCCAATCTATGTACGTATTCTCTTAATGTTATTAATGAAACTCTAGAAATGTTATGACTTATCACTTTTTTGGTTAATTATTAAAGTTAAGCGTAAAAATTAATTTAAATAGGAATAATCAGTTTAATGACTTTTGAAAATGTAATACAATTATAAAATTTTTTATATTTTGTTCAATAGATTGATTATAATATCTGAAATGTTTTAATTGTAATTAATGAAAATATAAATTACAGTGTTTATATAAAGTTTTTATTTAATTTTCAATCGATAATAATTATTCCTTTTATTGTTTATAAAGATTTTATCATTTGTAAAATATTAATCTAATTCTTACATATATATATATATATTAAACATATTTGTGCATTACTAATATGGCTTAGTTCTGTGATTTTTATCATTGCGACTCTTTTCTGCTCCAATTTTTGCTGGTCTCTTGTGATTTGCATTTCTTTGTATTAAAGGTACTTCAGTTTGTCTCCAAATATTCACAATACTTGCTTCACCTCCTGTAACTAATCTGCCACTCTAAAGAAAAGGGCAAATTTTTTATTTTATTTGTTAATGATTCCGTTCACAGGTAGAACGAGATAACAGTGTTACAGCTATAATTTAATACTTTTAAGTATGATTATTTATTTAAAATACAAAAATTTATTATAATAATAATACTATAGTAGTATAAAAATATAGTGAAAGAAAATTATTCTTACTTTTTCATGTAACCAACTGTCACGGACAATTTGCTTATTTCCCAATACGTTATAGTATGGTTCCAATTGATTTTTTCCAAAACTCAGACATTTTAGAATATTACTAAGAACATAAGATGCCCATTTTAATATTATTATATAGCGTGAGCAAGTATAAGTAATTTGATTTATTGCTACGAAACGTACCCTTTTGTAGAGCTCGAACCTGCAAGCAAGTAAGGATTGCCAAACGCAGTTGGAACATGTATCCGTACCAAATAACTCGTGTCTGGATCATCATTCTACAATTATTTGAAAATAAATGGTTTGATAATTCTCAAAATTATAACGTAGGTCAATAATATTTTTTATAAAACCGAACCTGAGATAAAACAAGATCGCTTCGATCAAATTTAGTATAAGGAGTGGCATCTTCACAGTTCCATAATTGAAGCGAATGTGTATGAGTTGTACACCATAAGTTGTCATTTGTAAGCCAACCTATTCGATCCTTTAATTGTCAAGGTAATTAAGTCATTATAAATAATTATTTATAATAAATGAATATAAATATTATTATGTTCGATAATACATTGTTTGGTTTAAAAAGAAACTAAATACTCATCGCTTATTATTATTTGTTAAAGTATGCTTTTTATAGAATTTTTTTTACAAGCTGATTTTAAATTCGACTATTTAAAGCAAGGTAAAATCAATATGGCCGATGGAATTTTCGAGCACATAATAATACTAAATATTTAATAGAAATACTTGACATACAAAATTTGGTTAATAAATATTTTCAAATTACGAATTATTAATAGGCTTACCACGGATGATTCAGTATTTAATGAATATGTCAAAGCAGAGTCTTCCGAAGTTTGTGTTAAGTCAAAAACATTAATTAAACCATCTGTACTACCAGATGCAAGAATGTCTCTTTTATTTGAATGGAAAGCTATACTGGTGATATCATCCATGTGCGACTCCCAATAGCCACCAAGCAAATTATCTTTACCATTAAGCTTAGAATTACTATATCTTATGTCCCAAAAAAGTATAAAAGCATCTCCACCGATATGTTCGGTTCCACCAGCTATAAGCCTTTCATCGCAACTGATGTCGAAACTAGCGAGTGGTTTAAGTTTTCCATCTTCCGTGTTATCTGAATTTGAAATATAAGGATATTATGTAATACATAACTGTAGTACACCCACGAAACGCATACCTTTAAACTCCGCAACAATTTTTCCTTTAGCTCTCAAATCACAGGCAATGACATTTCCATCGTTATACGCGATATAAATGATATTCCGTGAGTTGGGACTAAACTTAACACCTATAATCGAGGATTGATTGTGCTGAAGGGTAGCTGTTTTATTAAAAGATTCACCAGCTGAATAAACTACACAGGAATGATTCGACAATGCAACTCCAATTCGGAAGTCTGGTTCGCTGTAAGTTAATAAAATGTACGGATAAGGGAATACAATATTAGATATTAGGAGTATCAAAAGTCTGAAGTATGCGTATACAACATCATTTTGTGAGGGTAGTTCTACCTCTGGGTTCCACAAATTCCAAGAACGTAATTCTCATTGTTGTTAGAAACTATTTCCTCGACAGATAAAACAAATTCACCTTTACATTTTAATAATCTGTTCTTTTCCGACCTTCGCGTTCCACCGTTTTCAACGCTCAGTCTCTTTAACGATTCCACGATTTTCGACATTTGTTTGTTTATATTTATTTTCAATTTACAAAATTTACAAGTTCTTATTACCGTTTCTTATAACGTATGAGTATAAAAAATCTTAATATTCCGTACACAATCAGAAAATATAGCATTTGAGCTTAATGGAAGCGCGTTTTATTGAAATAAATGATTAATTCCTTGATGTTACTTTTAACCTCATCTATCTTAATATAACACATGTTTAATAACTAAATAGGAATGAGATAGAAGCAATATTGTGGTGTGAATAGTTATGCACAGTCATGAATCTATGTAACAATATCTTATGTTTAATACTCGTTATATTAATATAGCATTGGTAAAGCAATACTATACACACAATTTTTTCCCTTCTCCCACTGTATATTAATGTTTAGAAAAATAACGATTTAATTGAAATCTTTGTGGGCATGTTTTAGAGTAAAATTAACGATTGAAATATGCGATAATGTGACAATAAACATTTATTACTTTAATTATGGCAATAAAAGCCAAGCTCGTAAGGTATTATAGACGGACGAGAGTAAGGTATTATACGTAGTCACTTTTTTTTTTTTTTTTTTTTTTTTTTTTTTTTTTTTTAATGCTGTTATACTGGTGACACTGATTTTTTAAGTTTCGAACGTTATTTATTGAAAGTTATTTGAAAAATAAAAATGAATATGTTCGAGTGGTTCAGATGAAAAATATATTCAATATAATTGTTCATTATTGCAAGAGATTAGTAATAAATTTTTATGGTAATTCCATGAAAATAGAAATATGTCATTGAATAGACGCAGATGGTCAAATGATTTTATAGATTCGTTAATTGATTTTCAAAGTAAGTGAAAACTACTGCATATTTTATTTTTAACAAATAGATGAAATTTTTGTAATACTTACATATTTATATAATGGAGCACGTATTATATTACACAATTATTTAATTTTTTAATTTTATCTAAATAGAAAAGAGCTTGTAATTCATTAATAATATACCATTTATAAATGTATAACCTGAAATTTTTACAAATTTCAAATTAAATGCTAATTATAACAATTTAAATTTATATTAAAAGTTATGCATATTAAATTATATATTTATTTAAAGTAGAGATAATTCTGAATCTATAACTACACCATTGTATTTGATTTATTAGATAATGATATTGTAGATATTTCAACTGATCTATTCTAATATAATTGCATAAATGTAAAATATCAAATAATTATAATAGAAAACTATGTAATCTTTATTTGTAAATTCTCATTAATTATTAATGAATAATTGTGTAACTAAATTAGTAATAGACGATTTTAATAATAAATTATAAAACGAGTAAAAATTTTTAATATTTTAGAAGAAAATTTATTTTGAAATATATTATGATTGTATGATATGGCGGTAAATATCAATTTGAATATACATAATGAATGATATTATCAGATTTTTGCACAAAAATTTTAATATAATATTGAAATAAACGTTCAATAAACAATCGAAATAAATATTTAATTAATTTAGATAAAAAGTCGGTGGAAAATAATATTAAAAAAAAAATCAAACGACAGAATTATTAAGGAATCTTATAAGATTAGATTAGCGATTAAACTAATTAATTTAAAAATTCAATTATTAAAATATCATCATATTAAGAATTAGATTGTATTTCCAGATAAAACTGTACAATTTGATGATGTGCCAACTGTCAATGAAAGAATGACAGCAGATATTACATTACGTTCAGATAGTATAACTATTAAAGCAAATTCTTGCGATTCTAGTGCTCAATGTAATACGGAATCCACATCTATGGAATCTAAAAGTAAGGAGCGCTCGACAGAAACTTATGAACAAGGTATGATAGGATTTGAACAAATTTTTTATTTCACGTATGAACGTATATACGCATAAGTGCATATGCATATATGTGAAATGCACTATATAATTCATTACATTTAAAAACATTTAAGTTGTCTGGCAATAATACTGCTTAAAATTATTATGTATACTAAGTTGATTTATTGATTAATTTTATTAATTTATTTCTTAAATCAAATTATTCACAAAGTTTTGACATTACTACTAGGATATTCACAAAGTGAAGCTAAAAATATGGTCGCACGGATGAACAAACCTGATATTTGGGATACATTACTGGCGCTGGAACAAGAATTATCACCAGTTGAAAAGAATGAACAAAGTTTTACAGAATGCTTTCAAGATTACCCTCAAATACTTAACAGATTATCTCAACAATTTAGAAAAACACCAACAAGATTTACAGAAAAGTTAGTATCTATAATCGAAGATTCTGTCATATCAGAATCTCCAACAAAGCAGGTTTTGCACGAAAACTCTGGAATTAGTTTAAATAGAATGACTGGAGAATTTCGCAAACTATGCAAATTTATTGAAGACGAATCAATGCCAGAATTAGCTCCATCATTAATGAATATGACTGGTTCATGTTCAGAAAACAATCTAACGCCCTGTGAAAAGAACAGTAACGTTTCTAGCGTTGCTTCAAAAAACATGTTAAGGTGTATTAATGATACATCGACTCGTGTGTGTACACCAAAAATGCTTAAATGTCTTTTAACACCAAAAAATAAAATTACATCTAATGTTAATAGTCCTATTAATCGATTTACACCTACTGCAGATAAGTCTTTCGAATATTGGGAATCAGTTTGTAATATCATGTGTGAAAGCCAATTAAATATAAAAAAAAATAATAGAAAAAGTTTGTGTACGGCAGAATTTTCAAACCGAAGTATGAGTGAAATGTTGACGATTTGTGAACGCCAAATGGCTTCTTTAGACGATAGCGCTATTGATATTAGAAGTTCCGAGCCTTGTAAGAAGACAGACAGCGATTTAAAAGTACCAGTTCAAACGCCAAGATCTAAGTCTGAGTCTACAATTCTTTTGACTATCAATGACAAAATGAAGAAATCAGTTCAAAAATTAAAAAATGAAAAAATAAATAATGAAACAATTTCTAATAATGACAATGAATTAGTCAGTGAAGATAAATGCACAGAGATAAATGAGACATTAATTTTTGATAATGAATCTCAATTATTGAGTAACAATGATTTAGAACAAAATACAAAGCTATATCAGGAGTTCGAGTTATTAAAAGAATTGAAAAATTCACAGAAAAGTGATCAAGAAACTTTTGAAAAGGACTTTGAATTATTATATAGTCCAGAGAATAAACAAGTAAGTGTAGAGAATTCATATGATGACAATGAACAAGATTGTTCATTACTGATTGAATTGGCTAAGAGACGACAGAGATGTTTGAATACTGCGAAATTGATGCTGGAAATTAATAAAGAAGATCCCATTTCTAGCGAGGACAGCAAATGCTTAGAAACATTGTACAAATTAGGTATTCAAGATAAGACTTTTGACGAAGTTGAAGACGATACAAAATTTTTAAACACTTTAAGCGAATGTATAGATTATCATAATTATATTAGTGTAAAAAGCCAACCAATAATAAATATGCTTAATGAATTAAATTCTCCAAATAATTTAAAGAATAAAGCTGCATTACCAATGAAATCTAAAGAGCCATTACCTTCGTCGAAGGTCCCAAATTGGAAGTTAAAAAGTCAACAAAAAGTTGCGACGTCAAAATCATCCTTAGAGTCGAAAAATATTTTAAAAAATGTGCCAAATAAGAAAACCATAAATAAATTGCCAATGAAATCCACTCCAAAACTAACTCCAAGAGTGGAAAAAAAAGCTTCGCATTCGTCACATTTACAACAAAGGAAAGAATTAAAAAAAAATGAAAAAATCACTGCTTTAACGGATTCACAAAAAAATAAAGTAATTTCTAAAGAATCACAAAAAACACCGGCTAGAACAATTATGCAACATGACAAAAAACGCTTACAAGTGCAAATTCCAGAGAAAATAAGTCAAATAAAAGTGACGACTAAACTTTCAACCAAAGTTCCTCAATCTGATAAAAAATCTCATACTCAATCGAAGAAATCGACGTTCGATGCTGACTTACTCGAAGTAGTTCCGCAATCGGATAAACAGAAAGTCGTATCTAAAACAACATCAAACCTTACTGCCACAGAAAGCGATAACACCAACAAACGTCCTGCAATTCATGAAAATATTCCAAACGAGGCTTCACAGTTACCAAAAGTCAAACTTTTCATCACTCCCGGTAAAAGTCCAAAGGTTTCGACGTTGGGTAGAAAGAAGCCGCCGATGTATTTCTTAGACACAGCCTCGAAGGCAATTACACCAGTGAAAGCTGATTATGATAACGTCAAGTCCCCAATCGGCTTATACATAAATGGGACTGACACCAGTTTGATTCGGAATATTCATGCTCGAGTCAATGATCGTCTACTTACGCCCATATCGAACAGAAACGATAAGAGCCCTAAACTAAAGTTTACGCTTTCTTCGAAAGAAAATAAAGTAAGATATAAAAGAACAAACAAGAGAATGTAGTTGTAACATTAAAAAGACGCTAATAATAAAAATTGTTTATTAAGAGAATTTACTAGCTTATCTAGTAATGAGTTGTCTCTCTTTTTTTTTTTTTTTTTTTTTTTTTTTTTTCTTTTTTTTAAAAGCATTATCATGCTTATTTTATTTATAACGACACTATTCGATTGTAGATATAACATTTATTGACTTTAGCTATAATTTACTAATGTCTTTTAAATCGCTTTATTCGGTTATCGCAGACATTAATAATAAGTGGAAGTTGTTAATAAATATTGAAGAAGGTATTGTAAGTAAAATAGCGTTTTAGTTGATCTGTTTAACAAAACTGATACAATTATAGAATTTAATTTTATATTTTGATAATTTTTAATTATTTCAAATATATTTTAAGCAATATTCGCAAAAACTTTGAAGGATTTTCCGAAGCAACGACTCGTGCAATAATATTGAATAATTTATTTGTTTCAGTCTCCTGCTATAAACTGCAGTGAAAATATTGTTTTACCAATAGTTAGATATCAACCAGCTAAACAAGTTCATTTGGTAAGAACATTTATAAATTCTTTTATTTCAGCCATTAATGTGAGTAACAATTTACTTTAATTTTAGATTAATGATAAGTCATCCTATTCGCCGAGTTCATTACCGCCCAACTCGAAAATAAAAAAATTACTCGAACCTATAGAAAATACAGTTATTATTAAACACGAAGGTATCGTTGAGACATTTTTTTTACACTATGAAAATATTAATAATAACAATTTAATTTAATATATAATTAATTGGATTATTTACATACTGAAAATCATTTATTCGAGCTTTAAAGAAAGTTCTTTAACATGATTCTTGAAAGAAATTTCTATATCTGATCTAAATAACAATGTACAAAATGAATAAATTAACATAAATTTTAGAAAATAATTTTTTTTCTTTCTTTTTCACACAGGACGCATTATAGATTGTAATTCCAAACCTGACTGTTTCAATTCCGAAATGTCTATACGTGTACAAAAAATGGCTGAAAAAGCAACACCCATTCGAAAAAAATGTGCGTAATGCGACGAAAATTGTGATCAACTATTTATATTTCATACGTGAAAATAGACAATTGAAGTATTATTTAAATAGTGAAGAATTTATAGTTTTATGACTGGTGTTTAACATATTTTTCTAATATCACTTAGTTTAATATTTGATTTTTTTTATTATTATTATTAAAACACAACACATGCTCATTGTCTTACGCATCAGATAGTTAACTGTGTAGTTATTATCTTATAAAATACTATGTAATTATTAAATGTTTCAACTGTTTTTATGGATTATACGCAAATTTTTATTTTATGTAATGAATATTAAATTTAATAGGATTAAATAATATCATAAATTGTAATAGAATTTTATTTAGAATAAATATATCGGGTGTATGAAAGTAGAGAATAAAATTACTTTTATTTATTCGTGCATCCTTTTGATGAAGGATCTTATATGAAAGTTTAAGTCATTCTATTATAGTTTATAGTTAACAAGTACCTATGCAAATTTATGTTCATACACTATAAAATTGAATCTTTAAATAAAATGTTCATTATATTCAATAACCTTAATTATCACTTATTATTATAATTATCAATAAGCAATGTAGCAAATAATTTTTACATTTAAAAATTTATAGTTAAAACAACGAACAGTTCAGAAATTTAGTTCATGAAAATTATTAAATAACGTATTGTAACATTATATCTTTGAAAGTTAATCATAATTGAATATTTTAATCTGAACATTATTTAATTTTAAAAGTATTGTTAAAGCATTAAAAATTGCTTCCTATAATTTTTTTACTATAAATACTAACGATTAACTAAAAATCCATATGATACGATGACAAATGATTTTCGTTATTAGATGTTTCATTCGCTATTAGTTGTTTATATACATATTTCAAATACTTTCTTTAAGGTTAAATTTTCATTTTTAAAATACATTTAAATAAAAAATTTAACATAAAAATCTAAATCTTTTTTAAAAATTCTTACTGTTTTACCAACAAAAATTGTTTCTCTATTAATAAGCAAAACTATTGTGCACATAGTGATGCAATTACTTTAAAATGTGAAATATTATAGAATCTATTTGCACAAGTAAGTACTATGAGAGAAAGATAAACGCTATGTTATATAAGTAACTTGAAGAGTGAACTCTTACAGGTGCAATTGTTATAAAAATGTAGTATACACGCGTAAATATGCGTTATCAACCTGCATTGTTTAAGATATTGTTAAAGAAATAAATGGTTGGTATCAGAAATTCAATGAAATTCGTTGAATTGCAACTAATATTGTAGATAAGATGAACAATTTTATTGTAAATATATTTCTTAATGAGTTTGGAATATATATTTTAATAAAATATCTTCTATCGCTATGATTTAGTTGCATAAATTATTTCATATTTGAATATAATTGTGAAAATACATAGACCAGCAGCAACAAATATTTGATAATTAAAAAATTGTTTTTTTTGTTTTTTTAATTGTACAATATTTCAACTATTATTATTTCAACAATGCTTTGAAATTTATTTCTGCCAATTATAATTTTCAATTATGAAATAAATATGAATAATGTAAAGGAAAAAATCGTGTAATCCAGTCTTATGTTTCTTAATAATGGAACATACATAATAAGAACGTTAATTATTTTTAATATTTCGAGTTTTTAAGAAATTTATGGTACATAAACGAAGTGGATTCTTGCATTTAGAATTTAATTGCAATTCGAATTGATTTATTTCAAAAATTCTGATGTGCCTATAATATCACGTATATCGTGAACAGTTCGAGAATAGTTTATCGATTGTTAATTATTACGTATAATCATTTTTCTCTCAATATTCTCTCGCAATATCTTAAGAGTTTATATAATTATGTTTCCCTTGTTTAGCGTCATAGTTCGCTTTGATGATGGAATTTTAATTAACATTTAATTGAAATTGTTCCTTCTCTTTGCCGAACGTTCATATTTAAAATTATTAACATTGCTTTAGCTCAATATATTGTTTATCTCTATTACTGTTTTAATTGTCACCATTTTACGCTATTATTAAATTTACTTTTTTTTCTTCGAAAGTTCGAGTTTTTTTTCGAAATTATAGATAACAATCATATTGGGATAGACATCGTTACGTTTAAGACTATAGTTTTTCATGCTTCTTTTTATTAAATCATAATTATCATAGATACTGAGAGGAATAATTAAATTTGAAAGGATATCGACTTTACCAACGCATTATTTCTATAACTGAATTAAAATTTTCATAAAAAATACGATTAATACAAATATTTCAAGTTAAATTATGCTTCAAATATTAATATGTTTATTTAAATATATATTGATTTGAATGAAAAGTGTTTTCTGTGGCAAGTAATGAAGAATTAAACTAAATTATTAAAATATTGATATCGATGACTTTTGCAATGATGAAGTGTCAACATTGAAAACTGAAATATCAAATTAATGAGAAATATTACGTTTGTTAAATACATTGTTTTAATTGCATTAGTTATTGAATGAAAGACTATTTACTTCTACACGGAATTCATGACGGAATATTAAGTCTAGAATTACAGCAAACACAAAATAGCGTTCCTTCGCGATAATGATTCTCCTTCTGTACAGTTAATCAGTTGTTTATGATTAATTCGAGCTACGATCGATTCGATGTTTTGATCAGCCTAGCAAAAAAAAAAAAAAAAAAAACTCATCATCACATGTAAAACGAATATATGTATGGAACGGGAAGAAGGTAATTATTAATTATCGACTACGAAAGTAGAAGTGAAAAACAGCTGTACCTTTTAAATTTTACGTTACGCTCTTATGGTCATTGGGATTTTTTTTTTTTTTTTTTTTGTGTTTGTTTGTTTTACTCATGCTATATCAATTGGTCGCAGTGGCATGTGGAGATCAAATTAAATGCCCCGACGTGGATGTCGATAGAGCACGGATGGAGTATAATAAGATATCTACGGCTGACAAGGACCAAGGAATCATTGGTTGCACCGATGATAGTATTTTGTAAGATAAACGAAAATTTTTTGTCGAAAATTGTCGTAGCTATGAAATATCTAATCGTCGATGGCTAAGTACAACTTAATATATAGAGAGAGAAATCCTCGAAATAAGAGACTTTGTTCTTTATTTTTATTTTTATTTAAGCTAAGAGTTTATTTTTTGATATGTTAATAATGATATTAAAAATTTGGCAATACAAAACTTTTGACAATGATTACGATGTAAAATAATGCACAAATTAAAATAATTAAAATATTCAATGGAATTATGTATATTTATTTACATTTGTATATACTAAATTTTAATGAAATAGTACTTTAAAGTGATGCGATAATTATATTAATATTATTTATATGAAAATTACGAGTGCATTATATATACTAATTATATAAAGCATATATATATATATATATATATATATTCTATTGTAGAAGTATAATATTAATGAATAAATATTTATTTAATTATGAATTTAATGATATACACATTATAAGATGCAACGGGCGTGTTTTATTTTTAAAGAGATTTTAATATTGAAGGAGTATAATTATAATAATCGTTACGTACATTTTTGTTACTACTGAAATACTTCTTATTGTCTGAGTAATTTATAGTATTGTTTGAGTATTATTTTTTAAGTATTTTATTGAATTCACAGACATCCTTACGTTTTATTTTATAAAATATTTAAATAAAATTGCGGACATAATTTTTGTTCTAATATATCATAAAAACTAGCTATAATACGTCGGTGTATTAAAAATATTCATTTTATATGACGAAAGGGAGTGTCCATCTCAAATTTACTGGAAAATACAACAGGGAATTCAATTTGTTGTTCATAGTGTTAAAGTAACGGATTTTACATTCGTAACTAAACATTTGAATACAAAAGCTCAATAAAATTATTACATTTTAACGTTCATACTTATTTATCAGATTAGAAATTATTATGTAATATATCTTATCGAATCGAATAGTTTTTATAAAAAAGAAATTTATCGTCTTGATAATATAGTAAACGTTTTTAAACATAAATTACCATATGGACATTAATAACAATGAACAATGTATCGTATGCTATCTTAAAGAGATATTTAATTAAAAATAATTGTCTGACATTATGGCAATGAACAACAAACAGTCCATGAAAACAAAAAACGATTAGGAAAATTAACATTATAGTCGGAATGCGTACAATCTGTACATCAAAATATCTTATCAGACTCGATTAGACTCTTTCTTAGAAGAGCACAGTCAATGGAAATTCGATTGGGCAAATACAAAAAAAACCTGCATCTTTATCTATTTACAATGAATATGAATATAGTTAAGATAAATGTCAAATTCTGTGAAAATAAAATAATTTTAATAAGAAATTTTCAAAATATTAACCATCTCTCAGTTATCAAGTAAGGATGAGTTTGAATGTACACATATTATGGATATATTTTGTGTGTTATTATTTATGATTTAACTGATAGAATGTTCAGATAGAATGTTTAATAAAATTAATTTACATAAATCTGTGACCATTTCGTAAAACAACGAAATCGGACTTACTTGTCGGATGTATCGTATATCTTTTAAGATGATAAGGCCTATTTTGTATAATCGAATAATAATCGAATTTGTATAGCTTGAAATACGAATGAACGTGTAACAAAGACATGAATAGTATCGTCTGACAAACCGTTGAAGAACATAATCATAGAATAATAAAAAATTATCAAATAAATTAGATTCATTAATATGTCGACTTTTTTCGACTAGAAATAAAATGTAGGCAATATGAGATCCGATTAATTTACCAGGTATCAATATAAACATTTAAAGACATTAAAATAATTATTTAGAGTTAAGAATATTTTAATGTATCAAATCGTAAACTTATCTAAAAAAAGAAAAAAAAAAGATAATTTTCAACCTTTACGTTCTACATATAATTGACCTTTTTATAAATGGTAAATAGTTACTACCAAATACTAAAACTCGTTTATTTGATAATTTTTTTTATCTTTCATAATAATGCTACTGAAGACGATTTTATAAACGAATTTCTATAA